CCCTATCTTTCTTTCCCTGTCAGGTTTGGTTTCCTCCTCCCCTTCTTTACCTCTTTGCCTTTTGGCTGCGTGCAAGTGGGTCCTTGTGACACACGGGGATGGGGGCAGCCAGCGCTCAACCTGTCATCCACGTGGCTGGGCTTGTACGTAAGAGGTTATGAACAGGTGGAGCTTTCCTTACCTCCTTCCCCTTCCCCTTTTTTCCTTTTCCTTTTTTCTTTTCCCTTTTTTGCGCTCTGATTCACAATGTGACAATCTATTTGACGATATATATGTGACGATATATTGCGCTCTGATATCTTGTGACAATATATATATATTGTCACATGATATCAGAGCGCCAAAGCGAAAAACAGAAAGAAAACAAGGAAAACAAGAAAAACTGAATTCGTTTTTAATCTTCTTCCTTACAACTCCCCCTGTTCAGAACCTCTTGCATACAAGGCCACCCACGTGGATGTAGGTTGAGCGGCGGCTGCCCCCACCCCCGTGTGTCATATCGACCCACTTGCACACAGCCAAAAGCAAAGAGGCAAAGAAAAGAGGAAGGGAACAGCCAAATAATACAGAACAGGGGGCAACAAAACAGATCCCAGATGACAAGTCCCATATGCAAGCACCGCCCCCCTCCTTCACAGGCCAAACGACGGGACAAGACCAAGCAGGATGTCAAAACATTCTTGTCTGCAAAGAAATCAAAAAAAGTCCCAGATACATATCTATACACAGCAGATGGCCTTGTTCGTCATCAAGAAGTTGGTATTCCTATTCGGCGTCATCGTAAGCAATCATAAAAAACAATCCCAGATGACGATTCCCACATAAAAGCACCGGCCCCATTGATAGGCCGAACAACGGGAAACAACCAACTAGGACACCAAAAAGAACCTGGAGGACCGGTATAAAAGACAATCCCGGATGACAATTCCCACGTACAAGCACCGCCCCGCGCTTGAAAGGCCGAACAATGGGAAACAACCAACCAGGATGCCAAGGGCTCCACCCCCAATGAGATAATTGCACAACAGCAAGCAAAAAAAAAAACTGATAATCTTCTATCCAGTGGGCCTATGACCAATCCCACCCTCTTTTGGGACTGGCCATACCCCCAACGGATAGAAAAGACTTTGTCGGGAATCTTCCTTTGCACCGGCATGCTCAGTGTTAAGGAGAGGAGGAGGGGAACAAAGATCTCCTTACTTTTTCGGGTAATACATATAAAGTACTGACCGTGGGATCACTCACGACTACTGCATGGCAGGATTTGGGTCACTCAACTGCCACACAAACTCTTTTCTATCCTATTCCCATTGCTGCCGTCTTCACCCGAATAGAACGCCCGGTCATTATAGCTGTATTTGGCACAACTTCCGGTCCAGATGCAGCGCGTACTATTCGGGTGAAGACGGTAGTGGGACCATAAGGTGTGGCGCAGGCGGCCTTTGTGTCGAAACTGTGAATGTCGAAAATGGTCTGACAGATGTCAAATGTTTAACCATTTCGACATTGGTGTGTGTGGTGAGGCCCAAAGAAGTCCCAGTGTGAGTAGGCCCTCACTCAATCTGCATGTACAATTCTCATCAATGTGCAAGAAAAAGAAAAAAAAGAAAAAAAAAAAGAAAAATAGGGTGCAGTCAAGGTTTTCAGTGTTAAAGGCGTTTCAGGGCATACTCACACTACCCATGTATTTTTGCAAAATCGCAAATTTTATGCGGTTTTCCGGGTTACAACGGGCAAGTTTTGCGTGTTCACGCAAAAGGGCTGTAAATGTCAGCGGCCTGGACGGCCGCGGGTTTACATATTTTGCGGAAAGTTTGGATATTTTGTGAGATACCCCTATAACACAGGGGTATGCTGAAATGCCCCGAAATTCTGCATCTGCCCCTGTCCTGCTCATTGGCAACTTTGCCGTATGCCCTTGCCCTGGCCTACAGGGAGGGGGGCGTGCATTTTGTTTGGCAGCTGCAGGGTCCAAAGGCCAGAAATGCCGGGGCATATAGACAAAGTTTCCCAGGACCCGGTAGGGGTATATATGCAAAAGATGACAGGTCCAATTGGCGAGTGGAGTATTTTGCAAAGTTTCACGACTGGCATATAGGGGCATTTCGCCATACCCATGTCTTCTTTTTTAGGGGTATCTGACGAAATACCCCAACTTTCAGGGGCTTTTCAACAATTTTCCCCAGAAAAAGAACAAGAATGAAAACTAATGGAAGAAGTTAAAATTGACCAATCTGAGCTGTACCTGACTATCAGCTGGGGTCGGATTAATACACAACGGTGGTGGTGGCCAGGCAGTAAGGGCATACTCACGCTAAACCCTCAAACTCACAAAATCGCAAAATGAACAGCCAGATCGAGTCCTTGTAAAGGAAGGGCTAGATCTGGCCGCTCGTTTTGGGATTTTGCGATTTTGAGGGCCTAGTGTGAGTATGCCCTAAGCCGCTCCCATTTCGAAGTACATTGTGAAAGGAAGGATATAAACAAGTTCACTTAAAGCATTGTTCTACTCCGAACGTTCAGAGAAGATTCAGAGCACATTCAGAGCAGATTCAGAGAAGATTCAGAGCAGATTCAGAGCAGATTCAGAGAAGATGGATAAGAGACTCGCCGCTGACACAGGCTGATGTTAACCTCATACCCTCCCTGGTCAACCTATGCCCACAGTTAACCTCATACCCTAGCCCTGGCTACGTATCTTCGTATGTCTTCGTGGCCTCCGTATCTCCACTCCCTCTTCATTCTACCAGGATCTTTACGCCTATCTCTCCTGTGTCCTAGCCTACGTATCTTCGTATGTCTTCGTGGCCTCCGTAGCTCCACTCCCTCTTCATTCTACCAGGATCTTTACGCCTATCTCTCCTGTGTCCTCCACAGCATACGTGACTATGTTGTAATCCTGTGCCATCTACTCCATTGTGTTCTTATACCAAATCTCACCCACCTTACCTTCCCCTCCTATTCCTCTCCCCCCTCCCCCCCTAATTAGGCTCGCATCGTCCCACCTATTCCTCCCCCTATCATCACGCTTAACCTAATATATTACACCTATCGATCTCCTACTCAGATATTTTCTAACTCCCTTCCAAACTATAGTACAAAAACGCTTCCCGGCTTGGCATAACCTTTCATCACCCCATCTCTGTTCTTCATCCATAGCCCCCGAGGCTACTGCTGTGTTTTTAATTTATCCGTTTCTTTTTTTTTTTTTTTTTTGCTGGGACCTTCCCTGGGCCTTGCACGGCCGGGCCGCCCGGAAAAACAAGGTGTGACCTGCGCGGCCTGACTGGTAGCCTTAGCTGAAATGGTTGTGTTTTTTTTTTTTTTTTTTCCCAAGTCAATCGGCATTTGCCGTTCTTTTTTTGGCGTGCTGGGGGCAAGGTCCCATCGGCTCGCGTTTTTCATTTATGGCCGTAGATTGTGGAGATTGACGGCCAGGAAAAAAAAAAAAAAAAGAGCCGTGTGCCAAGTTGCCCTCTGATTGCTTCCTTATAGCGATGGGTGTTATTCCGTTGCACATAGGGCCTCATGCATTCCTCCCAAAATCCCATCCCCCTCTACGGAACCTGACCTGGATACCGATCTTTCCTTTCTTGGGATGTAATTCCATTGATCTCGCCGTCGCCGTCCAATCTTATCCTTTTCTGGATATAGAGACGGCTTGTGCAGCTCAGGAAAATTTTGGTTGTGTCTCTCGCGCTCTTTCTCTGTGTTGGCAACCCTTCCCCCCCCCCCAAAAAAAAAAACACCAACCTTTTTCCCACCATGTCCACAGCCCATGTTTCTCTCCTCTACTGTATTGTTGACTGTTTTTTTTCAGTATTTTCCAAGCGTATCCCTATAGTCCGCTGCTGCTGATCCAATCAGATCTGTGTGTGTGTGTGTGTGTGTGTGTCAGATGAACGGAGGTTGACTCTGCATCTCAGAAGGAAGAAGAAGGTGACGTGGGAAGAAGGCGTAGTGGATAATGAGACTCTCGAGAAAAAGAGTTCAAAGAGTGAGTGTGCAACGTATCTACTCCTCTTTCCAAGCAGATTCGTGCCTTGGGGGTCTGCCGGTGCTGTGTTTGATTGACTGGGGGCGCATGTACCTTCCTCCCTCCACCTATACCGTCTCAGTCTGGTGTGCGTGTGTGATAGTCTGCTTCGATTTTCGTCACAGCCACCCAGCCTTGAGGGCTTGACCCCGGTTAACCAAGCGTCAACCCTGGTTCGTGTCGTCGGCAGGCTGTCACTTGCCGGGCAGTAGTCGATGCTTGCTTGCATAACCGCAACCGGGGTTCAGCCTCCGGTCGAGTCGGTGAAACCCCGGTGAACCGGGAAGGCAACTCTGGAGACCCCAATACCGGTCAGGGCACTCTGCAGACTGTAGAGGAGGGTTCGGCCTTGTCTGACTGTAGAGGAGGGTTCGGCCTCGTGATGAGACAGAGAAACCTGTCGCAGCCTCTCGTCTTGATTTGCATCACATGTGCGGAGCATGGTTGAAGAAGCATTGACTTGTAATCATTTGTGAAAAAAATGTGAATTTGTAGGGGGGCTCTTTGCATAAGCTTCGCTGAAGTTCATTCATTGTTATTTCTTTCATTTTGTTCTTCGTTATTCAATGATGATTAGTGGTTGTTGGGCATTTATTTATAGACCACCAAAAGTTTGTTTATTTCAATTAATGCAATGAAGGTATTATGCATCGCGACTTTTATTGTATATTCCTCAGAAGTTATGTTATGATCCGGGCAGCCTGGGACCCCAAGGTCCGCCTGGGTACCGTCTGGGCAAGTGGCCCTGGCAAGGTGCTGGTCACCCGCCAGCTGCGCTAAATTTAAACAAAAAAAAAAAAAAAACATAGGAAAAAAAAAAAGCACAAACAACTAGATTGGTAATGATAACCCAAAAAAAAAAAAAGAAGATATAATGTGAATGGCCTGGTGGCTCAGTGGTTAGAGCACCGGCTGGAAATATGCATTGTGGTATGAGGTCGCAGGTTCAAAACTCTGCGTCCTTGCGCACGTCCGGCGTTAGGCGTTTTCATAGCGCCCAGCCATTCGGACACCACCTTGGGCTGACGCATGGTACTTATTACAGACACTGCCTGCTTAAGGAGTTAGGTCCATGATTGTGGTATGCAGGTAGCGGGCTTTGGGGGGAGGACTGTTTTGAGTGGTTGGCCTTTAGGGGTCTGATGAGTGTCGAGTGTCTGTGTGTGGGCTGTGTGTTGAGTATGGTCCGATGATCTCTAGGTCTGTCTCGGGTACTCATAATCATGGGCGGGGGTAGAGGAGATAGATAACGGGTGGGATTATAAATAGATAGGGGAGGGCGGGGAGGGAGGGATGGGTAGATGGGACTCTGTGTAGGGACTATGGGCCTGTCTGTGTGCACTGCTTGGTTTGTATCGGCTGCTCTGTGGGTGTATCTGGGTGCGTCTGGGTACCATGATTGTTTCCCGGCCACACGATGCACCCACGAGAGTCCATACCCACATCGTACGATCGCAGATCCCGGATATAGCCCGCTCTCTACACCCCCTTGAGTAGTGGTAGTGGTTGGGTGTTAGGCATATATAATTCCCACGGGCGGGCTTCAGGTTGATCTGACGATGCTTGTCGGCTGGGCTTCATCCAGGTTGGTGTCTGTCTGAGTTCCCACTGAGGTGTCGACTGGGGGGTGAGGCTGGGGAAGGGCTTCTAGGTAGGGTGTCATCTTAGGCAGGAGGGGGAGGGTTGTCGCATTGATGTAGAAGGGTGGCTTCGCCACCCATACAGTCTGCACGATGTGATACAGGGGGGAAATGACCGTGTATGATGTCCGCGACCCCTCGTGTATCCGGGTCGTCCTCAAGATTCGGGGTACGCCTTTAGTAGCGCCTGGGGCTAAGTGTCTATGACCCCTCGGGTTGGTGTAGGTCTAGGTCTAGATAGAGAGGTCTGGGGCGCACCGCTGTAGGGCTCGATTCGCGATACGATTAGGATATAACAGGTCACAAATGACACCCCCTGGAGGAAGACTGTCCTTGGGGTTGTCGCAAGCCACATCCGATCCCCTCACTGGTTGAGTACGACGACAGACACCTCCTGAGGCCTAGCATCCACCCCCTTCCACGACATGGACCTTTTTTTTAAAGAAAAGAAAAGAAAGAAAGGAAGAAAAAAAGGAAATGAAAAATATTAAATGAAGATGTAAATTGAAGACGTAATTAAAAGAAGAAACAGAAGAAGAAGAAGAAGAAGAAGAAGAAGAAGAAGATATAACGAAGGCGGACTATATAAGATCTGAAATGAAGATCTAATAAATGTGTCAATGATGATGATGAAGATACAACTGATGGAACATGTTTTGTCGTCTTACAGAATGCTGCATCTTCCACAAGCAGCGAGCCTTTGATGAGAGCAGTAGCGAGGACGAATCTGACAGTGACGGCGAGAAGTGCGAATCGAATGGAAAGCATCATCATCGTCATCATCACCATCGCCATGGGGGATGTGACAGTAGCAGCGAAGGAACGGGAAAGTGTGGTGATGGTGATGGCTGTGGGAGTAGTTCTGGATCGAGTGGTGATAACCTATCCGGATGATTGAGGAATCGACGAGGATGGTTTGAGGGGACCGCCACGACCAGTTGGCCAGCCAGGCATTTCGTTGGCGCGTGCCTGAACGAGCCACACAGATTTAGTTTGCCAGGCATTTCGTTGGCGCGTGCCTGAACGAGCCACACAGATTTAGTTTTTTTCCGCGTTGAGGAATCGGTTTCTTTTTCTTTCTCTTTTCCTTTCTCTTTTTCTTTCTCTTTTTCTTTTCTTCTTTTGAATGTCTAGGAGCCGTTATTTGACACTTGCGCGTTTAGTTCACTTCTCTGCCTGTCTGTTTGTCTGTCTGTCTGCCTGCCTGACTGTCCGTCTCTCTCTCTCTCTCTCTCTCTCTCTCTCTCTCTCTCTCTCTCTCTCTCTCTCTCTCTCTCTCTCT